GGCGCCGTCCGGGGCACGGCGACACGAGCGGCCTCCGCTTCCCGGTGCGGAGCTTCTGGGCAGGGCGATTGCTTGCCACTGTGCTTTCTCTTTTGCTGTGGATTTAAACAACGCCTTCCGTGTTCGCGTACGAACCGCGTCGGGACTCTTCTGTTTAATAACTCTTAAAGCGCAGCTACAGTGGGCTTTTCTGCTGATGTTTGTTGTAAGGGGACGTCCTAACCTGGAAGAGATGTCTGTGAACTGCTGTCAAATAAACGCAAAAAGTTGGAGAGGCGTTTCTGCTGACGGGGGAGCGGGGTGCTTGCTGTCAAAGGGTATGCTGGTTGTTGCGCGTTTGGTTTCAGAGGTGGCGTTCGGGCTTGACCTGAGAAACAGTTTGGAGCATCTGTGGTTGTACGGTCATTGTCTGGCCTTAAGGGGGGAAAAGTTAGCATGCAGACGGTTTTGCCGGTGGCACCTTGGTGTCCTGATCCTGGGTGGGGATTGCAGAAGGTCTTTCAAGTGAATGTCGCAAAGAATATTTAAAAAAAAAAAAAAAGCTGCTTTCGGATGTGGTGTACTGGTGGATTTTTTTAAAATTGCACTAGTAAGTAATGAAACTGAAATGTTCTCCCAATGATATAAAAGTATGATCTGAATGGTTGTTTTTGTTACATGTGGCCTTAAAAACGAGGAGATTCAACCGTTCATCCTCACCATTATTTTTACTTGTTGGCGCTTTCTGCTTTGATTTCTTCAATTAAGAAGCTCTATTGACTTCTTCCATGTGAACACAAAATAGAGTGTTATTTCTGAACTTCAGTGTAGATGAGCTATGTGTTATTTGGCTGCCGTTTTAATACGGTATACTGGTATGTACTTCCATTCAAAGGAGTGAAAATATAAGTGCCTGTAAGCATTTGCAGGATTAAGGCTAGAGGTCATCACAACTTCAGTGCTGCATTTCAGCTTCCTGTTAAAAATACTCTAATCTTTGCTAAGGGGTAACATTTGAAAAGTAACACATATTTTTAAAGCGCATAATGTGTTAGGCATGTTTAATTCTATGCTTCAAAGTCCTCCTTTCATTTATTCTTTTTAACAATAACATTAAGTCAATATTAAGTGAATGTATTCTCTGCTGAATCGCCTTATACCCTACATCACCTTATACTTCACTAGAGTCAGGTGCTACACCACCTTAGGCAGCCTTAAACTGCCACTGTCAAGCTCGCACAACTCGGTTGAAAATGTAGGTCTGGGTTTTGTTGATATTCTAGAACTATTGGAATAATATGCTAGTCAGAATATATTTCTGGTTTAAAGACAGATTTTTATATTTTCAAGAGAGAATGCAGCTGCCCATTCTATGAAAGAATTAGAATGACGTCTTAGTTATCTGCAGTGTTTTGTACTACAGTTTAGTTGAGCAGTACAGTTAGGACTACATTTGAGAAAATGAAAGAGGAAAAATGAGCCTGTAGATTCTCAGCTTCTCTAAGCTTTCCTGGCTCAGTAATTTAAGTGACATTTATGCTGAATTTTTATTGTCAGGATCTGCCCCAGAGGGTATACCTGGAAATTTCAAGGAAACTCAGTGCTGAGATATGCGCAAGACTTGTTAAATAACAACTTAAACTGAAGTATTAACCAGTCGATGGAAAAAGAAAGCCTTTTCCTTTCCACCCTTTGTCCCCTTTTTCAAGAAAGAAGTGTCCATTTAACAGTAGTTATCACAAATCAAACTGGTTTCTCTTGTGAGTAATGAGTACGTTTTGGATAGAGTTAAGATTATGAAACTGAGAATGGCTTTGTTTCATTTTGTGTCAAGTTGTGTGTTTTAAAAAATAATACTGTAGCAGATAAACTTCATACTTGATAGAGATGCGTAGTTAAATTAGCATCTAGATGGAGTTTTTTTGGTATACATTTGAAATCAGAAAAGTTTCCTGGAAAAAAAAGTGTGCTGGGAGAGAGCAATACCTTGTTCTCACCTTGGTAGGGGGTGAGAGGGTAGAAAACAGACAGCAATATTTCGTTCATATGTAAGGTATAAAAATTTCTTGCTTTGTTTATTGAAAGTTAACAATTATTTTAATTAGTTTTCAATGTTATTATGTACTTAATCTTTTAAAAATAATGTAATTTGCTTTTTTCAGTGAGATGTTGTTATGTGATTTCATAACATTCAGTAACGGATACCTACAACCAGCTATTGACTTGAATTTGGTAATTAATAAATTTCTGAATTTTCATGAGAAGCAAAGTTCCTGCTTTCCAGCACTGCCTTTTCCCAACACCTCCCCAAGCAACTGTCACATGGAGACATGCAAGGTCCAGAAATAAGTGCAGTTAGGAAATTTGTGTTACCCTGCCCATCAGCACTGGTGACCCTGGAAGCAGAGGAACCCAGTGTGAAGACGCTTGAGTCTTCGCTATGAAGGATGCTCCGTACTGCCGGGGGTGTTTAAGATTCGGTGGTGCAGACTGCCTCTGTAGTTACACACACCCATACTAAATGTTGTATAGAAGTTGCAAAGATACAGTGAAAAACAATGTATTTTTTACTAACTTAGGGTAGGCTTTCTGTTGTAGCTATTGATCAGAAAATTCTGCAGTCTTTAGAGATACTGTTTCGTTGTTCTATGTTTTCATAGATCACTTCAAAATTTACCCGCTGAAATGTTCCCACCTTTCGGTGCTGAAAATGTTTGCCAGCTCTAGATTCAGAAGTGTTTGTCTTAAGAGAGAAAAACATATTTATTTCCTTAAGCAACTAAAGTAAAGTCTAAATTTAGCTTCTTTGAAACTTTTTTTTCTACATATTGGTAGTTTTTCTTTGGTCCTCAGTGACAAAATAACATAGGTATGAAACAAGAGGAGAAAATGTTTGGGGTTAGGTAATGGATAGGAGGAATTCTGATCTTGGTCACTGTCAGCTCTGACCCAGGTATCTTAGAAATGGAAGTTGTAATTTTATGTCCATTAAATTAGCTGTGTAGCCTTTTTAAAAGTTCTACATTGATAACATCGTAATTACAGTTGTCATTAATTGTGCCCTTAGGTCAGCCAGGCATTTAAGTTTGCATCTCGTTTTGGGCACAGAAATAATTCAATGCATCTTCTGCAGTGTTTTAACTTAAACATATGCTCGTATATCTTGCGGAAGCACTATTGACAGTTTCAGAGGTGAGGCCTTAAAGGATGTTCCAGATGAGCCTAGTCTCAAAGTAAAATCCTTTGTTTAGGGCTTAGGTGGAGCTGACAGACCACATGCTGGGAGGAAGTTTCAATTGCTTCTACTTAACGTTTTTTTTCCCGTTTTAGCTTTCATGTTCTAGTGAAAAGCAGTGGCAATTTTTTTTTTTTAATTTAAAACATAGAATTAGCTAAGCTAAAATACCTGTGTATTTCATTCAATCCTCAAAGCAAACTGTACTGGTATCAACAGAAAAGAACAAAGTAGGTCTGAGTCTTTTTTTTATTATTGTTATTATTTTTTATTATATTTCTGTCTGCTAGCAGGCTTATGGACAATTCTTAAAATACACAAATGAAATAAAAAGAAAGCGAGCAGATATTTTCTAGTCTCGGTGTTAGTTTAAATGTTTTTTAATAGATTAGATTACTGTAGAAAATTATGACTGAGGGAATTTTGCTATTTCTCTGAAAAACACAGTCATATTAAAGCTTAGTAACCTGTGACCTGCTTTGCACCTTTAGATTTAAACCTTAGGTCAAGTAGGATTGAAAACCTTCAAAATTAGGGCTCTCATGGAATACTGTAATGGTGCTCTGTGCTCATTTACCTGTAGGGGCCTACTGACTGATGGTACCTGTTTGACTATTTGTCTCATGTTAACTATTCAGGGACTGTTTGCAAGCAAAAGGCTGCTGAGAG